CAACCCTCTTCTGGTGGCGCTGATAGACCTGTGAGGCTAGTCGTAGTGGATCCTACAATGAGATTATAGTTGCTGATGGTGGAATAGGTGGATTAGATTAAGGAACAAATGACACCAGAAGAGGGACAGGTTGTGAGTTCTCCCCAAAACACTCCCCTTGAGGAAAACTACCCAAGAAAAAGAAGTAAGACTTAAAAAAGGTAACATCTAGTGACAAACCTGCTACAAACCTGCTCCTTGACACTGGATTATAACAACAATACCTCTTTTGATTTTGAGCATGCCTAAGGAAAACACATTTCTTGGCCATAGAGTCCAATTTCTTGCGATGAGGACCAAGAATGTGAACAAAGGAGATACACCCAAATGCTCTCAAAGGTATATGAAATATCTCCCCATCTGGAAAAAGCAAGCTGAAAGGTGCCTTAAACCCCAAAGTGCGTGAAGGAACACAGTTAATCAGATACACGATTGTGAGAACTGCATCCCCCCAAAAACGAATAGGAATTGAGGTACACACTATAAAAGTATTCTCAAAGGAATACAGTTCCTCTCTGCTACCCCATTCTGTTGTGGTGTGTATGCACAACCACTCTGATGAATCACACCATGCTCCAAAAAGTATAAGGACAAGTCCTTCTCAAAGTATTCTCTAGCATTATTTGATTTGAAGACTTTTAGTCCTCACTCCAAATTGTGTGAGAACCATTTGGTAGAACCGTCACACCAAAATGGGTACTTTATCACATGATCTCATCAGATATATCCAAGAATACCGTGTATGATCATCCACAAACAAGAGAAAACAATGGTAACCACCCATGGAAGAAATGTGGCAAGGACCCCATACATCAGTATGAACAATATCAAAAGCAAATGAACTTCTTTTATTACTTGGTTTAAAAGAATGTCTTCAATGCTTTCCCAATTGATAGATTTCACATTCCAAACTAGACAACTAAATAGACTTAAGCAACTTTGGAAACAAAACCTCAATGAAATGAAAGAAAGATGACCCAAACGATTATGCCCAAGCATAATCCAACTCACTGACTCTGCTCCAGTACTACTGCTACTACTAACTTGATGGCTTTGATGTCTTGGAATCTCATTTAGAAGGTAGACTCCATTCACCTCATGACCACTCCCAATCATCTTATTTGATTCCAGATCATGCAAAACACAATTACCAGGAAGAAAGGTTACTGAGCAGTTCAAATTTTTTATTGGAGAGCTTACTGAAAGAAGATTAGTGTGGAAGATTAATGTGGAGAGCCACAAGAGCAGCCATCTTATGATCAGTTTAGGAAGAAAGAAATAATAAAATCTTTAAAGGTGTGGAGAAATCCAAGGAGGCAATTGTAGAAAGGATAATTATTATAACTATTCATTGGTTGAAGACTTTGGATTTGTTTAAAGATTTCTCAGCTGAAGATATTTACAGGAATTGGGAAGTGGTGGCTTCTACAACTTCCATGAAACCTATTGTGCAGGAATTGTGGTTCCCACCAACACAACAAAGAGTGAAATTGAACTTCGATGGGAGTTCAAGAGGTAACTTGGGCCCTTCAGGTATAGGAGGAGTTTTCAGAGATGAAAATGGCAGAATTGTGGCTTTGTTTTCAAGACCAATAGGAGTGGGGGGCTCATTGAGAGCGGAGGTGATGGCCTTGCTTCAAGGTGTAAGATATGCAAAACAGTTGAGGTTACACCAAGTTGAGATTGAGGGAGACTCTTAATTGTTGATTGAGTGGCTGCAATTTGGTAAGTTGGGAGCCTGGATTTATAGACAACCCATAAGGGAAATCCACAATATAACAAGGGAGATCGGTGCATGCTTCAAATGGACAAGGAGATCAGCTAATGGTTTAGTTGACATGTTGGCTAAACAAGGGACTGTGAGGGAGAGTATGTTTTGGGCAGCTCTGTAAGAAAGATTACTGGGGGCTCAACACCTACTTAGGGGTTGACAACTGTACTTAAATTTGGAAAGCTATTTTTAAAGTTATTTAATGAATTTACCGTTTCCAATCAAAAAAAAAAATGAAGAAGATTAGTGTGGAATTTAGGGACATGTAAAACAGAGGATAATGTAATGTCATTAATCACTCTAATTGTTCCTTTCATAGCAATGGGAATATGATAACCACCTATTGTAACTATCTCTACCAGAGCACAACTGGTAAGAACTAAAGAGGATAAATATATTAGTCATGTGCTTAGATGCTCCTGGGTCTATAATCCAGGGAAGTCCCTCCTAACCTGAGGTGGATACATGATTTGCAACTGTATATGAACTACTTGTATGAGCAAAGGAAGTAGTATGGTTGGCTCTTGCACTGCTCTACCCATCTGAAGAACTAGAACTAGCTGAATCCTTCTTACTCATAAGTTATTCATAGTTTTAATTCAATCCTCGTTGTTGTTGCTGCAATGGACTCCAGATCAGCTTGGGAGAGGGGTATTGAAGGGCCTCCTGTAATTGCCACATTCGCATTTCCCTTCTTGTTCTTGATTCGAGCTGGTACGAGATGAGGGAAAAGCTTTCAACAGGTGTTTCTGGTATGCTTAGTCTTCTTGCAATAGTTACACACCAAGTCCTTCTTGTCCTCCTTCCTAGCCTCACTATTCTCCCTGTCTCCATTTGGCTTAGATTTAATTGTACTGACCATAGCTGACTGATCAATCCTAGGCTGTCTCAACATGACATTCCTCCTACTCTCTTCCCCAAACACAAAGGCATAAGCTTGAGAAAGAGTCACACTTTCTCTAAAAAGATGTTGCCTGGCAATGTCGAATTCAAGGTTTAGCCCAACCAAGAACTCAAACCCTATTCTTTTCTATCAACCCCTGATAGGTTGTTGTATCCTTCATACTCTCCCAAACCATAGTTTTTAAGTGGCCGATCTCCTACCAAAGAGTTTTCAACACGGAGAAATAGGGGCAGGAGGTCTATCTCCTTTTTTTGTACTAATCACCTGATTCCTTAACTGATAAGCTCTAACTATATTTTGTTTCTGGGAATAGGTTTTAGTCACTTCATCCCAAATCTCCTTTGCAATATTAGCCCACAAAAAAATATTTACCAATGTGAGGTAACATAGAGTTGCACAGCCAGGTCATTACCATGTAATTCTCCTGTACCCACCGGGAGGGATCTATATCAGGTTTCTTCTCCTCCCTAGTGATGTACCCCAATTTTCCACGAGCACCAATGGCCATCTTGGTTGATTGTGCCTATTCTAGATAATTTGTACCACCAAACTTCACTATAGTAATAATTCCAGACGTAAAAATATCACTACTACCTCCAACACATAGACCCATGTTACTGGCGGACTTTTGCTCGGTACTCCAACTCTCCATTTTACTTCAAACAGTTCAAAAGTAGAAAATAATTATGTAGAGAGGCTCCAAGGTCAAATCGGTCTCACACAGGAAGGTAACAAACCTTTTAGAAAGAAGAAAACCCTATCCAGAGAGAAATCTCTCTCCTCCCACCGTCTCCCACTGGAGAGAAAAGGGAATCGGCCACTCTAGAAGGCCTAGAAAATTCTAGAAACCTAACCGCCCCCTATACAATATTCGAGCACCCAAGATCATATCAAAATTGAAGAGTCCAATTTGACTAGGACTCTTCCCCGCACTCTAGTTCTTCCTGAATTTGATGCCAAAATATAGATCACCCTCCTGATGATTAGATCACACCAAAAAATCCAAGAACTAGGCAATCTGAAGTAGATCGATCAACCCTTTATGTCCTCATGCAATCAGCTGATCTAGGACTGCATGGAAAAAACTTCAAGAAACCCTAGTTGAGCTCTGATACCAAGTAGAAAGGTGTTGAAATAAAAAATCTGTAAAAGAAAAGAATTTTTCTTGAAGAAGAAGAGAAGAAAGGAGAAAAGGAAGAGAAGAGATTTGAGAAAGGAGAGCAATAATACTGGCCACCCTCTTCACTATTATTTATAGTCTAAAATAATAAAAGTACAAAGACCAATATGCCCTTATAGGGCAGCTAGCACATAAAACAATTAAAATAACTGCTAAAAAATGACCCAACAAGAGTGCTGTGGTCCCCACTTCCTATCTAAACAATAAATAATAAAAAACTACCACTATAGACTATACAATTTGTCTAAAACCTTAACAAATTAGGAGAGTATTAATTATTAAACTGGGCTTTACAATATTACCCCTCCCAAACAACATGACCATGCCATCCTTTAGCAAACAAATATATTTGGGTGATTTTTTTTTCCAACTTCACTGCTAAGGTGGGTAACTGCAAGTTTTATGAATCCCTTCACTCCCTTTCTCTCTCCTGTGTTTATGTATGTAAATTGCTTATTAAAATAGAGTAACCTCTGAAGAATTTATCTATCTTGTGACATGTTAACCATAGGTCTTACTGTTAAGGCCAATTGTGTTGGATTAGTCTTTTAGTCCATCCCCATCCAAAGTTCAATTCAATTAGGAAACCCCTCTACTGAATTGGTAAGGCAAAGTGTAAAGGGTATGCAGATAAGCCAACGACATGGATGAAGAAACCTCATAGTTTTGTTGCCTGAAGAAACATCATAGCTTGTGTTGCAAGAAAAAGTGAGAAAGGTTGAAAATTGCTGGGAGGGGCAGAATCATATAGTGTAAATAGGTATGCAAATCAGCCAACAGCATGGCTGATGCATTGGCAAGGCATGTTGTAAATAGAGATCAGGTGTTCCCGGGAATATGTATTCATCGTACCTGGGGTAAATAGAGATCTGGAGGGTGAGGGTAAATAGATGCCAGAAGGGGGAAGAGGAGGCTGTGCTAGCTGAGACATAAGGAGTTCCAACTCTGAATATTGTATTCAATGTACCTGGGGTTGGCAGATCAAATATGGATCCTGCAGATTTCCAGATATTCAGTTTTTTTTTTTTGTTTCAGATGTTCAGATTGGGCAGCAAAATGAGACATGAAAACTTGTATTCTAACCAGGTTCTTTTTATTATTTGCAGCTGAAAACTGCAACCCTCACTCTTGTGCTTGTAGCCTTGCTTATCATTGCGCTGTCTTCTGTTGACTCAGCCCTTTGCTATCTCTTGGCTTTGCTGCTGCGGAAACCTGCATGAGCCACTGATCTGAAGGCTACTTGGAAAATGATTTTCATAGTAAAGAGTTCCAGATTTTAATTGCACCACCACCCATAAGTAGGCATCACAGGCAAGTTCCCCATTTGCCACACTAAAACTGATATTTCAATCTCTGGTTATAGCACAAGTGGCATGTTAGGAAGGTCACTGCGGGGCAAGGTGCAACCATGCAAGAAGTGCTTTCTCCACAATTATTACAGAGTACCTTTTCAGTTGAAATTGTTTTATGGTGACATGAGGGGGTCAGATAATTTTTTCGTTTATACTTTTGAAAATCATAAGATACTATTTTCTGTGGTCAAGATCATTTCAAGGTACAGTATTAACAATCAGTAGATCAGACAGGGAGCTGAGATTGGAGCAGGTTCAGTTTAATCCATTTATCAACTTACATCAATCTTCAAAAGTTCAAATTGATAATGCACTGTAAAGGGTTGGGAAAGGATCAGAAAAAATGAAAAAATTCAATTAAAAGCTGAATTGTCATTGAATGAGAAGTTCCATCATTTGGTTTGAACCGTATGGGCTTCTGCCCACTTTAAGGTTTTAAAACAGTTCAGTTGATATTAATAATTTAATATACAACATCTGGATACTGGACCAAAGGGGCCATTGCTTGTCTAATGGTAAAATATCGGGTTGACAAACGTGAGAAGTGAGAACACAGGTTGAGTCTGAAGGCGCATTATGTGGGAAAAAAATGCCAAAGGTCAGGACCGCACCTAGTCTATTAATATCGACCAACATTAGGTAATGGCCTTTTATCTGGATTCTTGACCAAGCTGATGTGAATTGAAGCTCAACGTGTTCCAACGCTTCAGTAGAAGAATATAAGATGCTATGGTTTGGACTTCAGAACAACTTTTAAAACATTGCATGCACAATGGGTTATTAGAGTGAAAATGCCATTACTCTATGGAGTCTGGATCTGCTCCTCACAGTGTCCTCACATGTTCCAGCTGAACATTGAAAATATCTCCTGTACTTGTATGTTATTATTCATGGGAGATGTTTCTAATACACGGTGGGATGTGGCTGTGAGGAGTGCTCTAAGGAGCATATCCCAATTCTGTTCTATGCACATAAGGTGTGGGTTCATGTATACCGACAATTGGAGCTTGTCTCCTTGGGGAGCCTTGGGGGGGGGGGGGGATCGTAACACTATGAAGGGAGGATGTGGTAGAAGTAGTGGAAGAATTGATAGGCAGATTCTTAATTTTCATTAAGTGTAAGAATGTAGATGATGGGTGTGTATGGGTCTTAACCAATGTTTATGGCCCTAATTCCTATAGAGAGGAATGAGATGTGGGAGGAACTATATGCAATCAAGGGGATATGGGATGACCTTTGGTGCCTGGGTGGGGATTTTAATGTCATTAGATTCTCTGATGAAACCAGTAACCCCTTTGTGTTCGAAGTTGGACAGGTTCTTATTTAACCTTGCGTGGGAGAATAATTTGAAAAACTTGGTTGCTAGAGTGTTACCCAGGGTCACCTCCGTTCATTGTCCTATCCAGATAGGTATTGAGTTTTTTCCTATAGGGCCCAAACCTTTTAGATTCGAAAATATGTGGCTTATTCATCCAGATTTTGTGAAAAAAGTGAAGGAATGGTGGGGTGAGGAGGAAAGGGGGGTAAGATGGAAGGGGATCAAGTTTCATAAGAGATTAAAAAGGTTGAGAGCCAAAATAAGAGTGGAATAGAGATTATTTTGATAGAATTAAGGAGCAAAAATTGTGTCTAATCTCTCAAATAGAAAACTTGGATGTAAAGGAATCTCAAAATGGGTTGACTGAGGAGGACAGAGTGTTAAGGAGACAATTGAAAAAGGATTTGGAAGAGGTGTTATTGAGGGAAGAAATCAATTAGAGACAAAAATCTAGACACAAGTGGATTAAGGAAGGCGATGGCTAGATTTTTCCATGATTTGGTAAATGGGAGACGAAGAAAAAATCTTGTGACCAAGCTAGAGATAGGAGATGAGGTGATTACCAACCAGGATGACATAGCTAGAAAATTTGCGGACCACTTCAAATCGATTTATAGAAGACCTTTGAGTGAGAGAGCGTCGTGGAAGGGGTGGAATGACTAAGAATTGATGACGAAGTGGTAAGGTGGATGGAAAGGGACTTTGAGGAAGAAGAGATTAAGAAAGCTGTTTTTCTAATGGTTAAATCCAAGGCTTTAGGTCCAGATGACTTTACAATGGGTTTCTATCAAGACTGTTGGGAGGTGTTGAAAGAGGATTTAGTTGAAGTCTTTAAGGAATTTGCAGATAATTACATTATAAGTCTTGGAATTAATGCCACTTTTTTGGTCTTGATACCTAAGAAGAGTGATACTATTAATCTAGTGACAAGCATCTATAAAATTTTGGCTAAAGTGCTCTCATTGAGGATCAAAACAATACTCCCTTCTATCATTAGTGAAACCCAAGAGGATTTCATTTAAGGGCGACAAATAACAGATTGGATCTTAATTGTGAATGAGTGTGTAGAGGAAATGAAGGTCTAGGAAGAGATGTTTCATTTGTAAATTGGATCTTAAAAAGGTCTATGATTTGGTGGACTAGGAGTTTCCATTAGAGGTTATGCGAAATTGTGGATTTGGGGACAAGTGGTGTAGTTGGATTTTTGGGTGTATCAGTACTTGTCACTACTCTATT